ATGTTTGTGTGGAAGAACTGGCGTTTCGGACAGCTGTGAGCCACGCTTGGGCGCTGGGAACTGCTCTGGGGTTGGGGGGCGGGGCCGGGGCGGGGCCCAGTGCTACCTTGGAGATGTCCCGGAGATTGAACAGGTAGTGGATCTTAGCAGGCGTGGGCAGGAAGCGCTGCACCACCGTGTTGTACAGGTCCAAGGTGGCCTCGGTCACCACGTTCCCGATGGGCTTTACTTCCTCCTCAAAGTCCTGGAGCTTCTGGTTGATCATGGTGCCAAATATGCGGATGATCTGGGACTCCTGGCAAGAGGCGGGAGTTCATTTTCCCGGGCTCCTGGGCCAGCAGCCAGGGCTGGCAGAAGGCAAGTACAGAGCTCAGCTCGAGAGCAGAAGCAAAGACACACTAAATTCAGTTAACTGACTAATTAATCACTAAGCGATTAAAAGAAAAAATGCTGAAATTCAATCCTCAAAAAATAAAAAATAAAAAATGTGTGCAAAATATTCATAACAAACACAAACATGCTGAGTCCAGAGGTGGGTCCCCGGCCTCTTCCATCACAGCTTCAGCACGGGTGCACTGTTCTCGTCTTCTGTATGAAACTTTGGTATCTTGTTCATCAACAATTCTTTAATTTTATTTTAAACTCAGTTTTCTGGGCCACGGCACCCGGGAGGGGACCAGCTCGTGGGCCACGGCTGTCCCCCTCTGCTACGGCATCAGCTCACAGGGATGGGGCTCACAGGCAAGGCCACGGCGCCTTACCTGCCTGGCGTTAATTTTAATTAAAGGAAATATTTAATTAAGAGCCAAGTGTAAGCAGCTGGGAGGCAGAGGCAGGCTGATCTCTGTGAGTTCGAGGCCAGCCTGGGCTACAAGGCGAGTCCAGGACAGCCAGGGCTACAGAGAGAAACCCTGTCTGGAAAAGCCATTAAAAAAAAGAGCCAAGTGTGTACACACACCCTTCTGCTTGGCATTGGGAAGGCCGAGGGACCGGTACGGGTGCCCTACACACCCCGCCCCATGCCCCTGGGCTCACCGTGGGGAAGGTCATGTTGATGATGTTGAAGCGACTCTGCAGCCTCGGGGAGATGACCGTGCGTCCGCCCCCCGGAGGGCCCATGGCAGCCATCAGGAACATGTCCTGGAGAGCCGAGACGGAGGGTGGGTCGGACACGGTGGCCCTGGCCGCCTCTGACAGCACGGTGCCACGTTCAGAGCGTCGTTATCCATCACGTGTGTTAGAGTGTCAGGCCCGCTGGCATGGCCGCACACTGTCCCTGCCTCGGGGACCCAGGGGGACTGTGCACAGATGAGGGCCTCCGGAGGAGGAGGGGCTGTGGGAGTGAGGCGCCGGCCTGAGGGATCTGCTGATGAGGGCGTGAGTGAGGCCCATCTGGGGGGGTCACCACACAGTCAGGCTCGGTGAAGAGAGCCAAGGGGGGGGGGGTGTGTGTGTGTGTGTGTGTGTGTGTGTGTGTGTGTGTGTGTGTGAGGGCTGGGCCTGCTGAGGGCTGGGCCTGCGGTCCAGCGGGCTGGCACAGAGGAGGACGGCGTCTCCTGGGTGCTCACCCGGATGTGCTTGATGGTCTGCTTCAGCCGGTCGTACCAGAAGCCGTAGTCGATCCAGAGGCGGATGAGCTCCAGGGGCGGCTGGGACCCAAAGGTGTCCTTGGCGGGCATATTGAGGTCGTCCATGAAGGTGATCATGCTCTTGCCCCCGAATGGCACGTACACGCCCTTGGTGCGCTTCTCCACCCTGCTCTCGATGATGCTCTGCACGTTGTTGGACGTGGTCTGCGGGGCCCAGGGGGGGGGTCGGCACGCGAGCATGAGGGGGGGCTAACTCGAGAGCACAAGGGAGGAGCCAGCTGCTCCCGCCTGACACCCCTGCGCACCCCGACACACCTGTGCCCCTCACACACCTGTGCCCCTCACACTCCTGTGCCCCTCACGCTCCTGTGCCCCTCACGCTCCTGTGCCCCT